AACATAGTACCGCATCTTATTCTGCGTGGTACCTGATGTTGATCGAATAGTACCTACTTTTTTGAAGAAAAAATTGATTATTTCAATTATGTTCAACATTTACAAAAAGTAGTACCAGTCATAGAGTAAGTCAATACCACATTATGGAGAGTTAGTACCACTTGTAATGAACACATAAGAAGACCGAATTTCGCTCGCAAATGTTGTTTATACGACCCATGATCACTCTGACATTAGTTTATATAAGATTTTCAATGTTTTTGATTGAGTTTAATCGCAAATTGGTCATGAACTCGATACACTAATGAGAAAATACTACTAATAGACTTCATTTCATTGAATGACACACTTCATCTCATAGAAATCATCATACATGACTACTTCAAATTCTACCTATATGTTTTCAATTCCACTTTTTTTCATCCAAATCACGTGTGAACGATCCACGTGTCATGGTAGACATGAAGGATTAGAGAAATCGCGATTTTGATAATAGTACTGGTTTTGGGAAACATAGTACCGCATCTTATTCTGCGTGTTACCTGATTTTGATCGATTAGTACCAACTTTTGTGAAGAAAATTTGATTATTTCAATTCTGCTCAACATTTACAAAAAGTAGTACCAGTCATAGTGTAATACAGTACCACTTTATGGCGCGATAATACCAGATATCCTGTCCGTATTACCACTTGTATTGAACACATAAGAAGACCGAATTTCAGTCGCAAATGATGTTTATACGACTCATAATCACTCTGACATTAGTTTCTATGATATTTGATATTTGGTTAATTAAGTTTAATCACAAATTGGTCACGAACTCAACACACTAATGGAAAAACACTACTTAATACACTTCAACTCATTGACTGGTACCAGTTTTGACAGATATAATACCGCTTTTTCTTCTACGAAGTACATGTTGTTGATCAATTAGTACCAACTTTCTGGAATGAAAATGTAATACGCCGATTAAAACTTCGCAAAACTATTACATATATTGCAGTATAAAATGTCAGTATATTGTACAAAAAATATTACTCATAAAGTGTCATTTACTATCCACTCTTTTTAATGAAAATGAGTACATAAGTATGGACGAGATTGCATTTCCAAATGGCAAACTGCTGATCCCCTTTGTATAACGATGCATATACTCTCCATTCACAATCCGCATCGCTACAACAAACGATGACCTTCTGCTTGTCATTTTTTCGATACTTAAAAGACAGCTTGTTTGCAATCGCGTAGTTTTTGACACTCTTTCGAAATTTGTTGGCCCCACTAAATATCTGCCCCTCTCCTTTGATGCAAGATCTCCAAGAATCGTTCAATTTATCTTGCAACAACTCATCTTCTCCCTCCGAGAAATCATTAGACTGTATGTTTTCCCTGCGTTCATGACAAAATAATACAAAGATTTATAAATAATGGAACTAGTTAAAAAATTAATGAACTAAGATATGATACGACTATACCATATTTCAATATTAAATTCATTAATATTATAAAAGCAACATTACCTGCTCATGTTCATCGGGATCGATTGAACTATATCATCTTTCAGTTCTTTAAATGGCAATTATCTCTACAATATTTATTTTCCAAAAAACATGTAACTGAATCATGTTTTTCACGTCCTCATCATCCAACAAACTAACACTCTTTTTTTCCTTTGGCGCAATATAGCATAGCACGACGGATTCGAAATCAACGTTCGGCCACCTCTTTGATATGAGAGTGTACACTTCGTCAAGCGTTGATCCAATGTGCATAAAGAACACAAACAATTCATTCTTGTACGTACAACTCCCTAGTATATCACTTTGTGCCCCTTCCATGTATCTAATAATAATTAGATAAATAAAAAATAAAAAACTTCACATTTCTCAGGAAAATATGGTACAAAATAGTATTAAAGTGGTAATATATACATACAAACAGAGGTACAATAATCAATACTAGTGGTACAGTGATCATTCCCACCTTATTTTCTTGTTTTAAGGTTAATAACACATTACATAACCTAACAATAGCATCAATTTCGTATACATAAATAAGAAATAAGAGATTTTGATCAATTTAATTGATTTAGGGTAAATATGAACAACAATTTTCAAAATTCAATCCTTAACAAATTAACCAAATATATACGAATTAAACATGATTTTTGGACTCCAAAATGCTCATATAATACATATATTACTTGCTACTTCAAATTTTGGCAGAAAAAAGCACGAATGTTGCGGGAAAAAATGAATTTTTGGCCGCACAAATTTGACGTCAGAATCACTTGTTTGGCCGGATTTGTTGTTGCAGAAGTTTTTCTTGTCGGATTTGGGTCGCCGGAGAGACCGACCTACAAAAAAAAACAGGGAGAGAAGAGAAAACGCCGGCGGGAATGGAGGGGGACGGGAGAGAGGAGAGATGTGTGGGGAAGAAGCTTCAACAAAATAAAATAAAGAAAAAAAGAAAATGTAGGTATAAGAAAAGGAAAATGTATAATAAAATAATATGTAATATTACCTTGTAGTGGAGATGATGTCATAACTTGTTTTCTTTTTGATTTAATTTAACATTGGGGATTTAAGTGGAATATGATTATAGGAGTAGGGAGTTAGGAGGAAGAAAAAAAAGTCTAAGGACTGAGGGGGAAATTGAAAAAGGACTTGGGGATTTTTTAGGAAGTTAGCCCTTATTTTTTCTCTCCTTTTTCTTTTATTTTTCTTTTTCCCCATCGCTCTTTCTTCTTCAACTAGTATTCGACTCTGTGCATTTGCACAGATGTAAATAAAATTAAATATTATAAGTTATATTTATGTATATAATATAAAAATTATAAGTTATATAATTGTATTATATTTCAAACGTATAGTATTATAAGTTATATTTATGTATATAATATTAAAATTATAAATTATATAATAGTATTATATTTTAAAATTTGATCATTGGTTAAACTAAATAGTACACACGAGTTGATTGTATACAAATCACTATATTGATTGCATAAAATGTAATAAATATATACTTTTTATAATTTTGAGTGATCATGACCAATTAATTAGCTGAAAAATATTACATTTATTATAACAATTGCTTATGTGATTTTAAGAAATTTTACTATGACATAAAAAAAAATTAATTTATTAATAAACAACCACTTCATCATATAAAAAATATTGATTTTAGTTTAAAATATAATTTTATGTAACTTTTATATATTATTTAGTATAAAATATAATTACTAATTTAATATTAACTATTATATTATTCAATAAAAAATATAATTATTAATCAATTAACATAAAATATAATGGTTTTTGTCTTAATTAATCGAAAAAAATGTAATGAAATATTTTCTTATTAATGAGATTGGGTGTATTAATGCCACATAAATAAAATTTATTAGGTTCTATTTATTAGGTTTTATTAATGATTTGCTACATAGGTAAAATTTATTAGGTTTTATTTATTAGGTAAAATTTAGGCTTAATTGCAAATAAAACCATGACCTTTTCGAAATTTGCAATTTACTGCACCACCTTTAAAATTGGCAAATTTATACACCACTTTTACAATTTTTTGCAATTGTATGCATCGGGCCAGAAATCGGGCTTCCCTTGCTGACATGGGCTGGTAACGTGGCTGACATGTCAATATTTTGCTGACATAGCGGCTGATGTGGCGGCAAAAATTATAAACATAACGAAGGTTAGAACCTGTGACCTCTAGGTTACATTGTGGCAATGAAACCACCACACTATTCCAAGTTATGTGTTGGATTCAATAGCAATTAATACATATGGACACTAAGTACTAATAAACACAGTTAAAATTTTAAAGATAATGTATCTTATATTAATAAGATATAAACTTATAATAATTTAAATATAATAAAATAAATTATATAATATTAAATGAAAAGTAAATTATAATAAAGTAAGATAGATTATTATAGTACAGTGCATTTAAATTAAATTAAATTAAAATAAATTATTATATTTATTATTTATTAAAATAAAATTAATTATATAAATTTGGAAATAAAAATAATATATTATTTATTATATTATCATATATTTTATTATATAAGATAATATAAGATAATATAATATAATATAATATATTTTTTATAAAATAATATAAAATAAGATAATATATTATTTATTACATTATATTATCTTATATTATCTTATATAATAAAATATATGATAATATAATAAATAATATATTATTTTTATTTCCAAATTTATATAATTAATTTTATTTTAATAAATAATAAATATAATAATTTATTTTAATTTAATTTAATTTAAATGCACTATACTATAATAATCTATCTTACTTTATTATAATTTATTTTTCATTTAATATTATATAATTTATTTTATTATATTTAAATTATTATAAGTTTATATCTTATTAATATAAGATACATTATCTTTAAAATTTTAATTGTGTTTATTAGTACTTAGTGTTCATATATATTAATTGCTATTGAATCCAACATATAACTTGGAATGGTGTGGTGGTTTCATTGCCACAATGTAACCTAGAGGTCACAGGTTCGAACTTTGCTTTTGTTTATAATTTTTGCCGCTACGTCAGCAAAATATTGACATGTTAGCCACGTCACCAGCCATGTCAGCTTCTGTTTATAATTTTTGCCGCTACGTCAGCAAAATATTGACATGCTAGCCACGTCACCAGCCATGTCAGCAAAATCGCCACGTCACCAGCCCATGTCAGCAAGGAAAGCCCGATTTTGGCCTGATGTATACAATTGCAAAAAATTATAAAAGTGATGTATAAATTTGCCAATTTTAAAAGTGGTGCATTAAATTGCAAATTTCGAAAAGGTCATGATTTTATTTGAAATTAAGCCTAACATTTATTGTTTACCTAGAAATTATATATATATATATATATAGATTGGAAATCGCAGGTCCCCAAATCTCTTCAATTTCCCTCAATCTCAAAAATTCTCACCCAGGGTCGAATCCATTCCAACACTCGAAATTAATTTCTCCCCTTCTCGCCCTAGGTCTCCTCCGACGAAAGGCAAGACGGCGGCCAAAGGCGGCCCTTCACAGATTTCTGGCCAGCGGAGTCGTTCGCGACGGTTGTTGCGGGATTCGATCGGAAAAGGACTGGTCTCGGCGGCGGACAGCGGCAAGACGCGTGAGACTCACGGTGTTCTCGACGGCGAAAGGGCTGCTGAACGGTCGTGCGGTCGGTGGTGATTCACGGCAGGGACAGGCGGTCGACTTCCCAGCTAGTTCGCGACGGCTGGGCCGAGAAGAGGACTGCGCGAACGGATGGTGGTCGAGGGCTAGTGACGACTATAAGTTCACGGAGGTGCTGGGGCTGCGTGGACTCTGTTCGGTGATGACGTTCAGTGGTGGGGGCTGCTCGATCTTGGTTTTTCATTGACGGGGCGCGGCTGAGACTTGCGGTGGCTCCAACGGCTCTCGGTGGCGGCGGCCTGAGCGATTGGGCGCTGTTACGAGGGACTCGCGTGGGGGATATGACAATGGCTATCGGTAGGTTAGGGCTCGACGAGCGACTGATGTCGCGTTCGTCTGGTTGTGAATCAGAATTCTTTTGGACTGCTATGGATTTTTCTCTTGATGAGATTGTGGAAATCTGCTGGTTTGCTGTAAATTCTGAATTTTTGTTTTTGGGTTGATAGTTGTGCGACAAGTTGCGGTCATAACGAGTTTGAGTTCGGGATTTGGACCAGAAATTTGAGAGAGATCGAGATGAATTTGCACAGCACTTCGAGAAAAGATACGAGGAGGATCTCCTCATTACGCTGCCAATCTCAGTTATTCTCAAGAGGGATTAAGGGACAATAATAGTGATTAAAGCATACCATATTGGATTGGTACGAACAGCACAAAATAAGGGGATTATGATCGGTCAAAGGAGGAGTTAGTATTCGACCTGTGCATTTGCACAGTTATAAATAAATTATTGTGAGTCTGTATATGTAATGATTAATTATTTTTCTTTTACTTTTTGCATACCAAATTTACAATTAAAAGAGTTGGAATATTTTTTTTTTAAATTGCGTTTATCTGATTGGACGTAATGTATATGTTGGTACGTCTTTTATTTGTGAATTATTTATTATTTATTTAGAAATTTTAAATATATTTTTTATTTTCAAAAAAAAAAATTAAATGTAACAACAATAATAACATCTAATCACATTATACGGTCAACACATTATATGGTCAACTGTCATTAATCAAAAGTTTAAAATGATTTTTGTAATTTTGAAGTGATGAGTATTAATTATTTAATGATTAAATGAAAGATTAAATACATCAAAATGTAACGGTTTTTGGAGGGAAAATTGTTAAATTGCCACATAGGTAAAATTAAATAGATTTTATTAAATTCTATTAGCTAGTAATTATATATATATAGATTAAAACTTCCATAAAAAGCATAGCATTTGAGTTTTAAATCAATGATCAAAGGAGTTTTGGGTTCGGCGGTTTGGGCGTGGGCTGATGAGGGTTGAGGCGCGGGCCGAAGGCCACGACTTAGGGCTCAGTTCCCGATTTACGAGGCTCGGTTATTTAATCTGATAATTAAAACGACGCTCGAATAATAAAATTCGACATCCGGGAAGATTAAAATAATTTATCCGGCAATATATATACTATCACCTTAAATTCACACCATAATATCATTTAGGCATTTAATTCAAATAATTAATATTTATGCCAATAAAGCAATATTCTAAAATTCTACTAATCGAACGGCTTAGATTTGAACTACGCAATTTGACCGAAATCGCCGAACGACGAACGTTTTAAAATAAAATGATAAGTACTTCAACATAAAATTTAAGTCGACATCGCGACCAATACAATAAATATAACTTTAAAATTAAATTTCGATAAATAGAATAAATCAAGAAATTCTATAAATCGAACGGGACGCTACAATCTATCATCTTTAAAAGATTTCCGTCCTCGGAAATACTAAAGAACATGCATCCGAAAGGAAAACGACAGACTCGAACGGGAATTTTCAATCATAAGGCCCGGGTATCCCCTCCGAAATTCGACCCCACTCGCATGGATCTTATCGCACTATACACGAAAGGCATACGCTCACATACAGGCTCCAATCCGACTCGCCCTTTGCTCATATGTTTTCCTTCTTGCATGGGAGGGTGATTGCCCTACCCGAGCTCAAGCGTACATCCTCTTGCAAGGGACCCAGTCCGGCTTGGCCTATACCCATGAGTATCAACAATTTGCTTACAAAGCCATCGAAGTCGAGGTGGATAAATTACTGAAGGCCAAACATATCAAGGAAATCCAATTCCCCGAGTGGATATCTAACACAGTAATGGTGAGGAAGGCATTGAACAAATGGCGTATGTGCATCGACTTTCGTGACTTAAACCTGGCGTGTCCTAAAGATCATTATCCTTTGCCGAGAATCGACCAGCTAGTCGACTCCACGGCTGGTTGCGAGTTGCTGAGCATGATGGACGCATCCCAGGGATACCACCAAATCCCCCTGGCCTCGGAGGATAAAAGTAAAGTAAGTTTTGTGACGAGCAAAGGGACATACTGCTATGTCGTCATGCCTTTCGGCCTAAAGAATGCAGGAGCAACATACCAGCGATTGATGGATCAAATGTTCAAACCCCAGATTGGTCGGAATATGGAAGTATATGTCGATGATATCTTGGTAAAGAGCAAGTCCTCGACTTCACAGCCAGACGACTTAAGGGAAACATTCAAAACCCTTAGGACGTTTGGGATGAAGTTGAATCCGAGCAAATGTGCCTTTGGAGTAAAGGCAGGACGATTTCTGGGATATGTTGTCACAGAGCGAGGAATCGAGGTAAACAGAGACAAGGTGAAGGCCATACTCGACATGGCCCCACCGCGAAACATCAGAGAAGTCCAAGTGCTGACAGGAAAGATTGCGGGATTGAGCAGATTCATCGCTCGGGCGGCCGAGAAGAGTTTCCCTTTCTTCAAACTACTCAAGAAAAAGACGGTTTTCAAATGGAGCGACGAGGCGCAGATGGCCTTCGAGAAATTGAAGGAGTTCCTGGGCGAGCTGCCCTTGCTGACCAAACTAGAACCAGGTGACGAGTTAATTCTATATATCTCAGTGGGAGAGTTCGCCTTGAGCTCAGTGTTGCTGCGGGAAGACGGGAGTTCCCAACAGCCTATTTATTACACAAGCCGAGTACTTCAAGGTGCGGAGACGAGATATCCGGAAGTCGAGAAAGCTGCCCTGACACTAGTTATAACAGCCAGAAAGCTGAGGCCTTATTTTTTGAATCATGTGATCGTGGTAAGAACGAACTTTCAATTAGGAGAAACATTGGGTCGACCTACAGTCTCAGGACGACTCGTAAAGTGGGCAGTCGAGCTGAGTGAATACTCCATCAAGTACGAGCCAAGGCGGGCCATTAAAGCCCAGGCTCTAGCCGACTTCATTCAAGAAGGAACCAAAGGAGAGGAAAGGAAATGGATAATGCATGTCGACGGGTCTTCAGCGGCCAAAGGATTTTGTAACGCCCCATTTTATTTTAAAGAATTTATTGAATTTATTTAATAAAAATCAGAGTTTTTTTTTTTTTTTAAAATCCAAGTTAAAACCTTTTTCGAGAAATGGGCGCTACTTTCTAACATCAACCAACAACACACATGCACGAGCTAACAATAAAACAAATACCAAAACATAAGTCTCAAACCATTTTAAAAGGTCTAGCCTTATTCAAAGTTCAACCAAATCCTACACATACATAAGCCAACAGTTATACAAATAAACCAGCTTATTCAAGTCTCAACTTATCCAAAAAGTTTAACATAAATCCATGGTTCATCCAACACAAACATGATTTCAAGCTGAAGCATAAATAATCCAAAATAAAAAGCAAGTAGTTCATCATATAATAAAAATAGGCGGAAGCAAGTCACATCAGTTAATGACCACCATCTCGCTCGTCCTACGCCACCGCCTCCAGCTCGTCTCAACCTAATACAAAGGAAGAGAGAAGACAACAAGAAAATAATGGGGGTGAGCATAACCAACAAGCTCACCATTATCGCACAGTATATCTCGCATAACATTTTTAAACCATCATAACCATAGTATTCAGTATGCATAGAATCCAACAGTCTAACTCCCTACTTGGCCCTATCGCAAATCTCCTATGTACATACAACAACCTTCCGACCAAACATCGGCAAGGCCGTAACTGGAAAATTTCCCCCACCCCGAACTACTCACGGATCATGGGAGTCCACCCCGAACTACTCACGGATCATGGATGTTTTCCAGGAGACAGTGAAGATGTTTTTCCCCCCCGAAACTCACACGGATCAGGGCGTCTCCTCCCGGATACAACGGGCAGGTGACCTCTCACTGTTATGCATTCGTCAAAGGCACTATCGTTCGGAACACTTAGACTAGAGTTCTCATGCATACATCACTTTTCAAACAAAGCATTTATACGAAATATTAAGTGCGATAAATATGGAATACATCATAAATGTACCCACCTGATAGCAGCAACAGTTCACAGGATCACAAATCTTGGAATAAGGCAGGTCAACACCTCTAGACACCTACATGATGTCAAGATCCTACAATCAATATCTATCTCGACTTAAATCGGAAATCACAAGACAGACCTAGTCGAACTCGATTCGACTAAGTAGTTCGTGAAGTCCTGTGGATGTTGGAACACTAAGACTCGGCACTAAACTCGTCCAAACCACATAAGGGAGTTCACATAAATCCATCCAAAGATTGACCAAGTCAAATTCACATCAAAACTAAAAGCAAGTCGATTTCCAAATTTTCATATAAAAATCATGCTTCGAAAATAGAAATCATTTAATCGCATGAAAATAGATGGTCAAGCTACCTTACGAATTAAGCTCTGAAAATTTACACAAAATTTCATCTCCCAGAAACATGTAAAACCACAAAGTTTCAGCTATAAACTTGAGGTACCCTATTTTATAAAATTCGAACAAGATATCAGAAAAATGGGCACATTAATTCATACTCGGACTTAATGAATGAATCTGATCTTTAAAATTTTACAAAACAATATACAACATGCTAAAGTCCATGTATAAAAATCTCAGCCTTAAATGTTAACTGCTGCTATTTTTAAAAATTCATACGAGCAACAGCAGTTTATTATATTTAAACCCAAACTGAATCAAATAGACCGTCCAACATAGCTCTTTTGGGGGATCGAATAATAAGAATTTCCGATATCGGGAACTCACTTTATCTACGAGATGTTTCCGGCCGGGGCTCACACGAAAACTAAGGATAGACGCGCTGGGATAGCAAGCATCCAAAAATTCCCATCTTTTACAACCATGATCAAACACATAAAATAGGCTTTTCAGTAAAATTTCAGAATTTTCCAAGAAGTAACCAATTTATGAAAATTCAAACAACGTTTCTGCAGATTCGATAAATAAAATATTTACCACAACAAATCAACTCCAAAAATTCTAAAAATTTAACACAACACATATAAGTCACAGAGGCATCACATATTCGAATTGCAGCTCATTCCATTCAAGCATGAATATTTTGTGCATTTAACATTATTCTGATCAGATTACACTTTAATTATTAAAAATAGCTACAGGCCTCTAAAAATTACGAAAGTTTTACACAATGCAGGCAATGAACAGATAACATATCCCTCAAAATTTCAAATCGTTTCGAGCAGCGAGCTATTTTTAAAAATTCGAACACCGAAACAGCGATTAAAAAGCTCGACAACTTGCAAATTAATTCACAACATAAAATTTCTCGTCCGAGGCCTTTTCATAAGACCAAGGACTCGACATTGTTCCAATATCCACCGACTTACATGACTTTCGAGGTCTCGTTCGATTATTGAGAAAATCGAAGAGATCCCGAACATACGAACACAAAAAGAAATCATCA